CCTGTGGGGCAGTTCCACTCTGTCCTCTAGGGGCGCTGTGGGTCAGAATGGACTCCATGGCAGTAGGTGTGGTTTGGGCTTTGCTTCCCAAAGATTGACAGCCTTGGAAACCGTCTGGGGCAGCTCTATTCTGTCCTCTAGGGGCGCTGTGGGTCAACATAGGCTCGGCAGCAGTGGGTTTGGTTTTTGTGACTTATCAGCCTAGGTGGAAGCTGCTGCTTCTGCTCACCCGCCTTTTCCTACCAAAGTCATGTGTGCTTCAAATGAATGTTTCTCTTCCCATGTCAGTCTTCTTTTATCACTACAAGTGCTTCAGCTAGGTGGTAGAGGGAAATAGTCTGACTTGTAGAGGGTTAGCAAAAAAAGAAAACCCTCAACGAGATGCATTGACACAGTGGCTGCAAGAATGGGCTCAAGCAGAACAAAGATTGTAAGTGTGGCACTGCACCGGGCAGTGTTTCATTCTGTTGTACATGGGGCCACTGTGAGTCAGAGCTGACTCAGTGGCACCTAACAACGGCAACAAGTCTGAAATTAAAGTGACTGGCTCATAGCCCTGAACCTTCTAAGAATGATCTACATTTTAAAAAGAGGGTTCTTGTTCACCCAGTACTATCGAGGTGGAATTTTAGGCACTGGAGGGATGAAGTCACATTGCATTATTACAGCTAGCATTGAGTATTTCTATCTGCGAGCCACTCTTCTGAGCACATACAGTGTATTGGTTATATCTTGCTTAATCTTCAAAAGTAAGTCTCCCTCGGTGCAGACAACAAAGATGAACCCTTTTACACATACAGTAATGCATTGTCAGTGAAGGCAAACATGGCTATATGGGTAGATAGATGGGTGGGCAGGCTGAACTATTAGGTATGTCTGTGCAGCAGGGAATGTACCCAAGACCAGGTATAGGGTTGGCAGACAGTGATTCTATAGGTGTATTTGTATGTTCTGTAAGAATTCCCAGAGGTATAGTAGAGCTGACAAGGGACAAGGTTGTAGTCACTTCTTGGTCACAGCCAGCTACCCAGAGGGAGTGAGTAGTTGAACCTGTGGGCTTGAGACCATAGTCACAGGGGACATCAGGCTCAATTGGCATCACATACTACACAAAACATTGTTCCACCTCCTACTTTGGCGAACAGTGACTGGGATCTTAAAAGCCTGTAAGCAGCTATCTGGATGCAATGATGGGTCTCTCTTCATCCAGAGGAAAGAAGTATAAAGAAAACCAAAGATTCATGGAAACAGTTAGTCCTGGCGTATGGTACACCATGCGATCCTCAGTCTATACAACTATGAGACCAGAAGAGCTAGATGGTGCCCAGCTACCACTGTCATCCACTCGGAGGGGGATCTATGGAGGAGATCCTGGATAGAGAGGGAGAACAATGTGGAACAACACTCAGAATCATTTGGAGAGAAAAAAGGCGGGGGACCAGGTTTGCTGGTCTGATAGAGCCTGGTGGAACCACTGAGACTATGGTCACTAGCTGCCCTTCAGGTCTGGAATTGAACCCACACCTGTTGCTTCCAGCCAAACAAAAGACAGGCGTATGAGTTGAACATTTACTTGAGGTAGATACACTCCTTGGAGAGATCAATCAAGGGAGAAAGAGAAGCTGTTTATGCACCGGGAGACAGCTCAGGGGGAAGGAGTGCATGGAGGGAAGGACACAGGGAAGAGGGGACTGTGGGGAGGAAGTGGGAGGGGAGCTGTTACATTGGGGTAAATTGTAGTCAATGTCATGAGACAAAGTGTACGTGAACTGCTGTATGGAAAGTGAATTTGCTCTGTAAACTTTCACCCAAATCACAATAAAAATTAAAGAAGAAACAAGTCCCTCTCCCTTATTTTATCCGATATGTTATAAGTGAGAGGACAAACACAGAGGCTGCGTTAATTTCTCAGCCTCCATTAACCAGTGAACGTGGAAGAACCGGCAGCCCTGAGCCAGGACTCTGGCTCTAGACTCACCCCGTGCCCCAGCTTAGACATGCTGGGGTGAGAGTGGCCAGTGACTGGATTCCGGCTCACGGCGACCCCATGTGATGGAGCAGAACTGCCCTGTGGGGTCCCCAGGCTGTCATCGGGGTCCCCAGGCTGTCACCCTGCTGCAGCAGATCACCAGGTCTTTTGGGTTCAAACCACTGACTTTCTGGTCAGCCGCCAAGCACTTAACCATCACAACAGCAGGGCTCCTGGGGTGAAAGTATGAACCTTATCTTGTAATTTGACCAGCCCTGTGGAAATCCACCCCAAGGCCATATCCCTATGGTACTCTTATGTTTCACTGCTCTTTCCTTTGTAAGCTTTTGCACATGAAAGATTTCTGAAAACATAATTATGATTTTTTATCCCCACAGTGACTTCCTGTGGCAGATACAGCAAGAGGCACCTGCCATAAGGGGAATGAAAAGGCCCAGCAGACCCTCGAATGTTGGGGTCACTTATGTTAAAGCCTTGAGCTTTTCACACTGCTTTTCATAGTGAATGTTTTCACATTTAAATGAAAAATATTCGGTGAATTCCATTTGGTTTTGTTACTAGTAAGTTTTTATTTTATAAAATGTTTTTGCTTTTCTGTCCTTACTTAACTTTTCTAACCTTTATTTTATGCAGCTGTATGTGTGTGGCGTTCGCAAACATTGCATAGAAATTAACAGCAGGAATGCGGAGTCTTTCCAGTTCCACGCTCAGGATTACTTCGGAAAGGAAGGCGTGTGGGCTGGACAGGGCGTACAGCTGGCAGATGGTGGGTGGCTCATCCCCTCCAACGATGGAAAGGCTGGAAAGGAAGAATTTTATAGGTACTCTCTTCTCTGCCAAGAGAAATTTTGCATTAAATTCAGTATATTCCTCCATCCCTGTTTTCCCTCTTCCTTCTCTTTCCTTAATGCTTTGGAACTGAAAAATTGCAAATTTTCGTATGTTGGATCATTTAAAATGCCTTGTGGTTCAAGAGGCATTGTGTTGAAATCTTTTAAAAGATGAATTATTGTTTGTCTAGGATTTAATGAATTGAGTTGTGTTTTCTTAAATTGGGACATTTTTCTTACACGTTTGTAAAATAAAGGCTGATAAGGAAAGTTTCATTTGATTTGATCTTATGGTAGATTCCTGTCCCCAACATATGTCCTAATATTCCCTTTCACTGTATGTTTCAGTGAATATAGCATAACTCGTTGTGGTAGAATGTTTCAAATTCTAGTGCCCCTAGAAGACAGACTAGACCCACAGGGTTTCCCAGGCTGTCAATCTTTCCAGAAGCAAAGTCCAAACCAAACCTACTGCCGTGGAGTCGATTCTGACCCACAGCACCCCTAGAGGACAGAGTGGAACTGCCCCACAGGGTCTCCAAGGCTGTCAATCTTC